TAAAAAAATTGAAGTATAGTTGACTTACAATATTGTGTTAATTTCTGCTGTACAGCAAAGTGACTCAGTTTTACACATATATACGTTCTTTTTTTATATTCTTTTCCATTATGGTTTATCCCAGGATATTGAATGTAGTTCCCTGTGCTTTACAGTAGGACCTTGTTGTTTATCCATTCTAAATGTAATAGTTTGCATTTACCGACCCCAAATTCCCAGTCCATCTCTCTCCCTCCCCACCTCTCCCTTGGCAGCCACAAGTCCGTTCTGTATGTCTGTGGGTCTGTTTCTGACCTGTAGATAGGTTCACGTGTGCCATATTTTAGGTTCCACATGTAAGTGATATCACATGGTATTTGTCTTTCTCTTTCTGACTTATTTCACTTAGTGTGATAATCTCTAGCTGCAACCACATTGCTGCAAATGGCATTATTTTGTTCTTTTTTATGGCTGAGTAATATTCCATTGTATATACATACCACATCTTCTTCTGAGGACACGAGGTTTCTGGGGGGCTGCCATGTGGAAGGAGGGGGGATGGGGTGGGTTGGGGGCAGGTGGGATAAAGGTGAAGCTGATCAGGTAGCAGAATAATTAAGAACAGAGCCTTGTGGTAGATAGTCCTGGGTTTGGATCCCGGTTCTGCCTCTTTGGGTACCTTTCTTAACATCTCATGTTTCACTTAGTTCCCATCTTTGCAAAATGGGGCTCATCGTCCCTACTAGAGATTCTCCATGAAGACTAAATAATATAACCTAACTGCATAGAAAGTTAGCACAACGTTTGAAAGCTCCTAAGTGGAATCTAAAAGGAAAAAGCTTGTGCACATGTCACATATGTGACATGATAGAATGCTTTAGTCTCAAGTTCTCATTTTTTTCTAAGTTGACGACAAAGATTTGTCTGCCGGAGGCATCTGGGAATATGCATATAATAAGAAGAGCAAATCTGGCTCTGTGTCTGCACCTCTGTTTTCTGTAGGCAATGCCAGGTGCTCTGCAAAGCTGGTTAGGAATGACTCATGTCACATATGCCCACATGCCTCAGCTCTGTTGTTATTGTATTAGTGATACTACTTGCTTTGTAGTATTGTTGAAGGAATAAAATGAGCCAGTGTGTGAAGAGCACGGTGTCTGATATATAGAAAGCCCTCAATAAATGGTAGATGTCCACCATTATTGCAACCAATGTTCGAATCCAGCTCCAGAAACTCTTTATCAGGTGACTTGCTGCCACGGCCCTGCACTAGCTATGCCCCTGCCAGTCCCTCTGGCATCACGTTGACTTATGTATTGCTAGAAATATATTGTGTTCAGTCGCGTGTTTGCGAATGACAGATCATTAAGGAAGCACTGAGGAACTAGGGCAAATCAATACAGAACGCAAATGGCTGAAACCCCCATCAGATGTTCGCATTGTTTCTGCCAGTGCCGGAAGACGCTCAGATGTTTGATTTGTATGTTTGTTTTTATGCTAGTTCTATTAAATCAGTTTGCAGCCTGAAGAATGTTTGCCAAAGAAAGACACATGTGCCAGTTAAGAGAGACCAAAGACAGTCGCTGGCTTCAGACACATCCCTAAATGTGACAGTTTTTGCTGATGCTAAAGCTGCTTTTTGTCCTTCACACTGAATTTTTGTCACTGGGAGTATGGATCTTTGCATGCTTGTTCCAAGCCATGTAAAACCCACCAGAGGCTGCTGCTGTGTAGAGCCTGTGTGTGTGCCCACACACGTGCGTGTGCACACACACCCCAGACTTCCTTCCTTGACCGAGGAGCAGTTTTCCTGAGGATAAGTGGGCAATGACTAAAGGAATAGAGGTGCCTCGGCAGCAAACGGTATTCAGCGAAGCTCAGTGACTGAGACTGCAGGCTTTCCAATTGGCTGAACTTGAGTTTGAGTCCCTGCTGTAGCTCTTCCTGGCTTTGTGAATATGGACAAGTGACTTAACATCCCTGAGCCTCGGTGTTCTCATGTTTAAAGTGGGAGTAGTGATAACAAACAGGGTCTGCCTCAGAGAGGTGTCAATACTAACTTAGATGTACGGTGCAAAGCTCTTAGTCTGATGCCTGACTTACAAGTACAAGCTGATACTGTTATTATCCTCACCCTTGCCTTAACTTTACATCTGAAGTACACTGACAAGCTCTAATGCCCCCTGGGGCAAGGCTAACCCACATCATGTCCTGGCCTTGGCATCCTGTAAGGGTGTTGCATGTCCAGCGGGTACCCACAGCAGCATAAGAGGCAGAGAGACTGCAGAAATAAAGACCATCCCCAGAGTGTGCAAGGGTAGAGCGTACCGGATACACAGCAACGTCCCTGCCAGGGTTAACAGGCTAAGATGGGAATTCTTTGTTCTTTGTTCAAAGCCACACCTTTGCACTCTATTTGCATATTTTGTACATATACTGTTATATATATGTGTGTGTGTGTGTATATATATATACACACACATGCATCTATATTCCATCTTCCCTCAACTCCTACAGCCTTTTTACAACATACCTACTTCTGCAGAGACTGCATGATGTCTCAGAATGAGTACTGGGGTCTTCACCCCTTAAACTTTTCTGGGACTTTGGGAAAGCTATTTTAGTATATGGACTTCACTTTCTCTGTTTTCAAAAAATAGAGAAGGCAGTGCATCCAATGGACGGAAGGAGAAAGATGCCACTTCCGCCACTTATTAGCTCTGGCACTTCGGATAGGCTCTTTGATCCATGTAGGTTTTATTTTCCTCGTCCACAAAGTAGGGCCAACACAGCTTGCCTCAGAAGTGTAAGGATTCACAGAGATAATAGACCTAAACCAACTCGATTCCATAAAGGACAACACTTCTTGTTATGTTAGCAATAAAATCTGGTTCTGTGATGGACCGTCTTGGGCTGGTCTCTATCACCAGATTATTAAACTCCTTGGGGATAGGTATCACATCCTACTCACTGTTTCATCCTTCCCTTAGCTCTTGCACCCATTGCTAAAGTGGACGTTATTCATTATGAACTGCACGGTCAGCCAGCTGACCTGACTAGCTTGGGCTCTTGGCCTGCAGCTGGGAGCAGTGCAGAAACTGAGGGGATTGCCATCGTTACAGACAGTGGCTCTCTCCAGAGGCATCCTCCAGCCGCAATCCTCCTGCCAAAATGGCAGGTGAACCCCAGGATTCCTGGAGAGCATTTGCCACCCGACTGGCAGCCCCAGAGGTTCACAGAGCTGCTGCCTTGGCTGAGAAATCCCTGAACTCTGCTCAGCTGGAAAATGAGAATGTCCTTGGAACTTCTCAGTCAAGGCAGCCTGCCCGGGTCTGCTGCCTCTGTGGGTGGCTATACCCAGGAGCCCGCAGCCTCTGCGACCTTGTGGCATGCTTTTTTGGCTCACCACAGGCCAACCAGGCCGCTGTCCAGCCAGCCTATGCCCACGTGCTCGACAGAGCACACTCCCCGGCCCCTCCGGCCCCAAAGAGGCTCTCTTAATAGACCGTGGCAGCCTCATTTGTAGACTCGATTCATCTGGCAGCCAAGAATGATCTGTCCTGATGCTCCCTCTCTCCTCTCACCCACGCTTCCTCTTTCTCCACCCCCCTCACCCCCTTCCTTCGGCCTGGAGAGTGATTTGTCTGTGTTATGGGTAGGCCTGACAAACCATTCCACATTAGCAGCTGAGATGTTGTTTGAAATGGGAAAATTGCTGGCAAACTGCTCCATTAGTGGTTCCAGTAACAAATACTCTCTTTCCCCCAATGAAGATGAGATTGCAGAGGCACAAATTAATACAACTGTCTCCCCTCTTCTGCAGCAGGGATTACTCTTCAAGATGAATTCATCCCAGCCAGAAGTGTGCATCCTCTAGATGGAGCCTCCAAGGGAGCCAGTTCCTCCCATGTCTGCCTTGTGCTCCCCTCAGCCCTCCCGTTACACACACACACACACACACACACACACCATACACACACACTTTTTTGTGTCTTCCCAGCAGAGGGTTTGGGGATCATCCATGCCAAATGAGGAAGTGATGAAAAGATCCACACCTCGGAGAGACGGGAGATGTGGACCAGGCCACCATTCATCACCTCTAATAGAGGACCCCGCCTTCTGCTCATGCCTGTTTCCCACCACACCTGTTCTTGGCGACGGGAAGTCATTTGATAGATGAAAGAATGAAGAATGAAAAGGCTTGCTCACTCTCCATGCTCCTTCTCTTCCAAGGAAGCTCTGGGCCCTGAGCCTGCAGCATCTCTTGTTCTTTCCAGAGTAATAGGAGAGAGAGCAATTCAGCAAAGTCCGTAAGGCCATAAAGCTACAGATTGTAGCAGCAACCCAGGGGAGTGATCCATTCGGGGCCCCTGGGGCCCTCAGGATATCAGGGAGCCAGTTTGATGAATGTCAGGCAGGGAGCCTAGAGACTTGAAGGCTATTTCTTCATCATATTAGAACAGCCGATTGAAAAACCCAGAAACAAATACTGAATCGTTAGGTTGTACACCTGAAACTAAAGGTATATGTCAATTATACCTCCATTACAAAAAGGAAAAGCCCAGAAATGCAGTCTCTGCCTGTACTGCACCCCAGCAGCAGGATGGTGGAGGTTTTCACTGAATGGTGACATGCTTCCAGAACAGGTAGGCATTGCTATCTGTCCATCTGTCTTTACTCTTCCTTCTCTTTATCCCTGTGACTTTTTCAGCATTCTGGTTACTTCCTACAGCATTTTCTGAAGATGACAGCTGCCTCCCAAAGACAACTTATCGTAAACGAGAACCAAATATGCTCAAGGAGAAGACATCTTTTCTAGCTTTCTCCCAGGGGTATCAGACCCTGAGCTGGCTGCCCCACACACCAGAACCCCAGTCTCTGGCTTTCGGACGGTGTTTACCAAGTCTCCCTCCTCTAAGAATGTATGCCACATGATGGGAGAGACCATCCTGTCCTCAAGGCCCCCAGCAACCATTTGTTGATGGGTGGATGGTTAATCGACTCTTTTCTGCTCTGTTTCTCAGACGCCTGGAACAGAACTCCATCAAATCCATCCCTGCTGGAGCCTTCACCCAATACAAGAAACTGAAGCGAATGTGAGTCTCCCCTGGAGAGAAATGGGCCCAAATGTTTTCAGTTCGGGGGGTACTATGTGTAGTGGGCAGCCTGCCCAGATGAGAGGCTGCGTCACAATCCTCAGGAGAGTGCAGTGTCAGACCTGGAATGGCTCCCAAGACGGGGAGGTGAGACCAGGGTGCTGCATTCAGATGGGGCGGTGTATGGGTTTAGGCACCTCAGATCTAAGGGCGACTCCAACTAGAGTGAAGTAAAATTATCTGGGTGGGAGGTGGGGCTGTGTCAGCCTAAAACAATCCCACCTCACCATTTGATTGTCCCCTGGTTTGGGGGATGCGGACCTCAAGTAGGAGCTTCAGTAGAGATGTGGCCGTTTCCCTATATCATCCTACAGCACCGTCACCAGCATCCCTACCACCATGCACGCATTCATCTAACAAATTCTTAGCCAATGTCCACCAGGAACAAAGAACTGTGCTGGGATCTGTGGGTAGAGGGTGAACTAAAACGAAGTCTCCTCTGATGGAGCTTGCATATTTGGGTGGGAGGGCACAGAAATAAAACCAAGTAAATGTCAGAAACTGACCAGTACTAGAAAGTAAAACAAAAGAAGGGAAGGGGCTAGAGATTGATGGAGGGGTGGTCTCTAGATGGGTTGACCCATGAAGGCCTCCGTGTGCAAGTGACCTGAATGAAGGAAGGCAGTGAGTCTAGAGGAGTTCTCAGGAACATATGCATGGATGGTTTGCAGAATAGAGAGGAGGAACAGAGTGAATGAAGAGAAAGTGGTGGGGATTGTGCTGGAGACGTAGATAAGGGCCAGCTCCCGTGGGCTCTTTAGACCATGGTAAGGACTTTCTAATCTTTCTAAGTGAGATAAGAAGCCTTGGAACCTCCCTTGCCCATATGATGATCCCCAGCATGGCCATTACCACCATATCCAATACCACGCCATCACTGCAGCCTATCGGTACCTGCTGACATCAACACTGCAGTGTACCTTCCCTACTCCATTGACAGCATCTGAGCCTCACGGCCCTCATCCCTGCCATCGTGGTAACGTCATCAGCACCACCCCTCCCCATCACGTGACCACCCTGAGCACTGATCTGTGAGTCACTCAGAGCGGGGTGCTCTGAAGGGAGGCTAGTAGGATTCAGAAACAACCCAGCCATTGCCATCACAGATATTAAGAGCCTAGCAGGGAGGCTCCCGTCCCTTTTCCAGGCTAAGAAATCATTTATTATAGCCCAGTAATCACGATGCTGCTTTCATTGCGCTTGCCTACTCCCTCTGGCCCCCCACACAGAGAAAAGAGAGGGGGCAGGTAGAAATATGCATGGACTTGGGTTTTGTTCCCTTCCACCGCGGGCTGATTCATCGGTTTCCCTTGAGTAGGAGGGCCTGCATTAAAGAGGTTAAGTGTCTGCTTGCTCCTTTTATGTTAAAAATAAACATCCCTGCGAAACAGTGGCATTGGTACGCTTTACCCTCAGATCTTAGGAAGCCAACTTCCCATCTCCCTGGAAATCCACGCCAAACAAGTTTTTCTCCTGGTACAGTTCCAGAAGTAGAAACCAACATGATGCGCCAGCCCTAAGCACATACTCCTTCCCTCCCTTTGGCAGCATTCCTGCTGGAGGAGCTGTATAAATATAGGCCTTAATATTTAAACCTTGGGCCATTAATCTCCTGGCCTCCCTGCTTCTCCAGCTCTCTCTCCATATGCACCCCCCCAATTCATTTTTAAAGCCCAGCTTGATTATGCAGCCAGATAGTAATTTCAGTGAAAAATGACAAGTTCAGTCACTGCCCCAACCTATATCTCTTACATGATTTAAGTGACTGCTCTAATTTTTTGTGAAGTCCAGGTAATTTAGAGTGTGACTATGTTTTACTATCCTTTCTCCATCCCGTTGGAGTTGCCATGATCTGTGCATTCAAAATTCATAAGATCTTCTCCGTCACGACCTGGGAAGTAAATTTCATTTTTGATCACTTCTGATGCTATTGATATTTACTATGATGCCCTTCCCCCCCCCCCCCAACCAAGGGGATGGCGGTAGGGAAGAGAGACCACTTAAAATTTTTTCTGACTAACAGAACTTCAGAAACCCAGACTGAAGTGCAAGGGCTTTGGAGAAGTAGGGTCCCTGGTGAAAACGGAATTTAAAACCCTAAGGGTGAACTCCTCCTAGGTATATGTGACCAGTTTATCTCTAATATCTCACAGAAAAAAGTTTTCCCTCAGCTATGAGTGAACCTCATCCTCTTCTTATCTCCAATGACAAAAAGAAAAAAAAATTTTCCTTGATTGAATGTTGAATGGCTTTGTCCCTGAAGAGGATGAATTTCTAGAGGTCAGCTTAGTGTAAAAAAAGTACTTCCAGGTGAAAACTAGTACCAAGATAGAGGCGCCATCTGCAGGGAGAGTAGCAGACGTTAGAGAGGATGCCCCAGTCTTACAGGGTTGGTTAACCGAGAGCGCTGACACTTGAAGGCCAAACCTTCAAAGGTGTTGAGTTCTTTCCCTCTCACGTTCTAAGGTAGAGCAATATTCCACAAGTTCCACCAGTTCCTAGTGTCTCACGCTTATAATCCCCGCTTGACCCTCGTCGGCACTGGAATTTACCACCTCTCTTCTGAACTGTATGCAAAGGCCACTTCTTCTCTGCCATCCAGTTTATCAAGCCCCAGGGGACTGGGGTAGGTTTGAGACAGACCAGATTCTGAAATACTGGTCTAAAGTATGACTCAGAAACCACCTGCCTGGGAATCATCTGGAGATTTGTTACGTATGCAGATTTCTAACCCCAGTTCTCCAGAGGGCCAAATCAGACCCTCTGTGGGTGCATTTTAATAAACACCCTAGTGAGGTTTGAGAACCACTGGTCATCGAGGGCGACCCAAACACCAGGAGTCAGCTCTGGGACCACCTGAGCGTGGAGATGGGTGGGCACTGAAGCCTTCCCCAGTCTACCTTCCTGTCCAGGGCCACCACCTTCTGCACCCATCACGGTGAAATGGAAGGGAGACTGGAGATGCCAGCTCTGTACCCAAATCGCTGTGTCCACTCACTTGTGGCTACAGGTCCTTTACCTGTGGCTGCTGTTCCCTTCCTGCAGAATGAAGAACTAAGATGAAGTGACCACCAGGGTCAGTTCCCAGCTAAACTATCACTTCTCCAGTTTCCACTCCCCAGCATCTCCAAATCACGAGACTTCTCACCTTGTCCTTAGAGACGGGTGCATCCAGGAGTCTAGCTCTGAACTAAAAACGAATTTGCCCTGACAAGGCTAAAGCAGAGGGCTTCCCCACTGGTCACAGAACCTCCTCTGACACGGTAGAGGGCCAAGGACCTTGAAGGGACATCACATTAAAAATGTCAGGAAAAAAAAAAAAAAACCAAAGAAATAAACAAATGAGGCTTTCTCACTAGTCTGATCCGAGCACCGACCCTGCACGCTTGCCTGAAATGCCTTGCTAGGCAGCCAGGCTGAGGGCTAGCAAGATTAGGATAATCCGGAGCATTTGCTTGTTAAGACCCTTATACAAAAGCAGAGCTCTGAAGAAAAGGCCAGTGTAAGCTGACTAGTTTGCGAGCACAATCTGTGGATTTGTTAGAGGTGATCTCGCCTGCTAAAGGGATAAGCTCAACAGCCGTGCCTAAGAAACCTTAACCTGTGGAGTATCTTTCAACTCGCAGGTCTTGGAAACAAGGAGGGAAGGGAGCAGAGGACTAGGCAAAGATTGTTGGGCGGCCCTTTTGAAGGATAGTAGAAGGAGGAGAGAAACAGGCAGAAGGACTGAGCTTAAGAGGCTGTGGGGCTGGGGCGTCTGGCCTCGCTGGAGGCAATTGCTAAGGAATCTGCTTAGATGTTCTTGCTTCTCAATATTCCCTTCCCTCCTCCTTGTTGATCCTCCAAGACCCCAGCTCTCCCTCTTCTCCACAAAAGCAAAGACCCATTGATTTATTTTGGTAAAGAAAAGGAACCGGAGAGGTTCATTGTAGCTGGAAATTGGAGCATCTCCCCTTCCAGGGACAGGAGCCCCGAGGCTGTCCCTGAGCTAATAACTCCTAAAGAGAAGTCTCCCTCTTCAGGAAAGTGTTGTTAGCGAGACGGGTGCTCAGAAGACCCTGGGGTGCTGCAGAGTAAGCAGCCTCTGGGTCAGGGAGATTCCTCTGTGCCAACGAGGCCAGGTTAGCTGCCTTCTAACACACAGCATCCTTCTCGCTCACATTATCCCAAAGCCCTGATCATCATCGCCCTGGGCTTGTTCCCGTCTCACGAGGACCGCCAGTGACAAGCCCACATCTCAAAGCCATCCCATGAGAATCTCATGATGTCTTTACATCACCCGGCCTGGAAGATGCACTGAACCAGGCAGAGACTTAAGTCACTTCTCAAAACCTCCATTCAGGTCAGGAAGGAAAAGTCACTGGGGAGGTGAAATGACTCAGGATTTCTGGGGACAAAAAGAAGCATTTGCCAAGGCGTGAGGCAAGAAAGTGAGGCTTACAGGAACCTTGGGCTGTGTTTGGGCAAGGCCAGCTTTCGCTTTGTTTATGCTATAATTGCTTGGTTGTGAGACCTACGATGAGACCCTAATCTAACTGGCTTCCATTTCCCACCTGCAAAGTGAAGGCTCACGTGTGCATGGCCCTATGTCAAAGTCAAGGTGCCACGAGTGAGCATTCTTTGAAAGCCAAGAAGAGTGGTACAAATACAGTGCATTTTATCATGCGGCAGTTGAACTGAATGATCCTTAAGCCCCTGCTCACACACTATGAATAAATAAATTGATTAAGTGATGAATTCATCCTCACCATTTTGCATGCCTGAAATGCTTGGTCCACACTTTAGGAACGGCCATAGCACACCTTGAGCTATGTTCTCAGAGTCTCTGGTTAATTTTTCAGAGACATCAGCAAGAATCAGATCTCGGACATCGCTCCAGACGCCTTCCAGGGTCTGAAATCGCTCACATCTCTGTAAGTGGGGAGCAAAGCGCGTAGGGTGTGGGTGGGAGCATGGGCGAGGGGGGCGTCCATATTTTTCAGGGGGTGTTTATCAAGGTTTTATGTTCCCTTACACACTTGTGTCAACCTGGTAAAAGAAACAAATATTTCTTCAGGGGAAATTGATCTTGGGGAATATTTCTACAAGCCCAAATGCATTCTTTTTATTGATTAAGTGCCCAGCAGCCTTCCTGGTTATTGGCTTCTAATTCAAATGCATCTTCTGGTCTAACCGCCCTCCCATCCCACATGCCTAGGCAGTGCTGTCCGGGGAGGTGGAGGGAGAGAGTCGTAACGTATGATTATTACCACGTGCCCATTTTACCCGTGCGTGTGACCTTGTCAAGGAAGGAGCTCATTTTCTTCCTCTGATTTGAAGCCTTTTTCTCCAGACCAACCTCATGGCTATTGTCCTGAGAAAGCATTAACCCCATCCTATAAGCCTTTCTTTTCTTTGATTTTTAAACCCTTTGATTTTTAAACCCTTTGATTTTTAAACCCCCTTTGATTTTTAAAGCAGCCTAGTGGATGGAACCAAAGCTGTGCGCACCAGGGGCTCAGAGACCCTCAGGGGCAGGGAAGTACAGAGCTTTGTCCTGATTTCTGCCAGTGACTCGCCCTGTGGCACAGGGACTGTCACTTGAGTCTTCTGTGCGCATTCCCTCACAGGCAAAATGGGGACGATGACACCTTTCCTGCCTGACACACATTCATGATTACAGTCCCAACAATCATTGGCAGTACTTATTGAGCACCTACTGTGTACCTGGTACTATTCTAGGAGGCTTGCAAGTTTCACCCTCACCATGACCTAAAATATAGGATCTATCCTCTCCTGTCTTTAATGGTTGGAGAAATTGGGTGATCTAAGCTCCACACAGACAGAGGTTTTTATTTCTTTTGATCCTGGCTGAATCTCTGGCACCTCAAACAGTACCTGGCACGTAGTTATCGTGCCAAAAAAAAATGTGTTGAATAAATAAACGTAACTTATCCAAAGTCCGCGGTAACAAGCGAGAGAGGCAGGATTTAGACCCAAGCAGTCTGACTCCAGAACCGTGCTCTTGGTCCCCATGCCGTGCTGCCCTCCTGAGATGACATAAAAAGTATAAGATACAGCAAAGGTATCATCAGTTGATATTTTTTGTATTATTTGGTGACCTGCCCACCCGGGCAAGAGTGAGGATGCTCAGAGGCAAGCTGTCCGTGCTTTGTGTCTCTGTGCAACCGGTTTGTTTAATGGATAAGTGGGCAGGTAACAAGACACACATTCTTCCCCCACCTGGCCCTATCCCACTGGGAAGGGGCTGAAGACAGGGAAGTCTCTTGATTCAGTTGTGGCCTGCTGCTGGAGGAGTAAAGTAGTTTCATTTATCGGGTAGAACATCTGGCTGGGATATCAAAGACAGGATTGTGTGTGAGATCAGTGTCTGCTTATTGCGCTGAAGATCACAGAGGAGAAGGGAGAGTGGCCATCTGCCACCGCGGTCCTATCCCTGTCCCCACCCTCCTGTTCCCCTTGTCTGCTGTCCCTCTGCTGGGATCTGGGAACAGCCTGAGGACAGTGAGACGCTTCCTGTCTTGCGGGAAAAGAAATTCAAAATCTGGTTGCCAGACAGGACATTGGCATGCCACTAGGCGATTCTGAAATATATCAGGGCATTGTTTAAGTGAAGTGCCTCTCACCCCCAGTGCACGCATGTAGCCATTCAGTAGATGCCTACTGTGTACTGAGTAGCCTTATAGGCACTGAGAATGTGGCAGTGAACTGGACAGACAAGACCCTTGACCTCATGGAGCTTTGAATACCAACACACCCAATCCGAAGTCAGGAATGGCCAACGTAAAGGGCAGGAAAGCCTTTACCCCAGACCTGTTCATTCTTTTTTTTTAAATTTATTTATCTTTAGCTGCGCTGGGTCTTCGCTGCTGCGCGCGGGCTTTCTCTAGTTGCGGTGAGCGGGGGCTACTCTTTGTTGCGGTGCGCGGGCTTCTCATTGCGGTGGCTTCTCTTGTTGCGGAGCACGGGCTCTAGGCACACGGGCTTCAGTAGTTGTGTCACGTAGGCTCAGTAGTTGTGGCGCACGGGCTTAGTTGCTCCATGGCATGTGGGGTCCTCCCGGACCGGGGCTCGAACCCGTGTCCCCTGCAGTGGCAGGCGGATTCTTAACCACTGCGCCACCAGGAAAGCCCAGAGCTGTTCATTCTTTCAACAGATATTTATTGTGTTAGATCCTATTCAGATGTCGACTCTAGGGACCCAGCCATGAGCAAGCCACATGATGTCACCACACACAGAACCTATACTCAAGGGGGCCGGTGCGGGAGGCACAGAAAATGTTTAAAATAAATAAATGTATAAGTAATATAACATGACGTAATAAAAAGGGATGAAGAAATAAAAATAGAGTGACAGGTGGTAGAAAATGTTGACTAAGATATTCAAGAGAAGCTTCCCAAGGACGAGGTGTTTGAGCCCAGATCTGAAACGTGGGAAGGAAAGTCAAGGAGAGATCTGGGGATAAAGCCAGACAGGTCTACACCCAGGTGCCCCGAGGTGGACCCACAGCCCACGTCAGCCTGCCGGAGACTGGTTTTGACCCACTGAGGCTTAGAGACGCCCCATACGGACACATGATTTGAGGAACCCCTCCCCCCCGCCCGCCCCGTTGTCCCTCCGGCTTCTGCTACACTGCAGGTTCTAACATCAGCGAACAGACAGTGACACGACTGCATTTGGCACAGTGAGCAGTGGGACATTAATAATATGAATTACAAATGCAAGCCTGAGCCGTTGTGCTGACTTTTATTTAGCCGTTAGTTTGTTGAAACATTCATGAAACACACCCGCAGGCTGAGCAGGAGGCTCACTCTTCACTCCTGGTGGCGTCTGGAAAATGGGGAGTTGGGTTTATCGCTCCCATTGACCGTTTCCTCATCCTAATATTTGGCCTCCTCGATGACACATCACAGCCTGAATTTGCAATCTGAGTGGGGATCGAATCCTGCGTACATTCAAGGCACTCCAGAGCTCGAGAGGGAATTTTTTTTTTTAATTCTTCTTAGCTAAGTTCCCTCCATCTCGGAGGAGGCTGGACCCAAGAGACAGCAAAGTCTGTGCCATGGATGAGAGCAGAGAGAGGCCAGCAGTGTCTTCGGGGGAGGCAAACCCAGTACACTTCTTCCCCAAGCCTCACAGATCACCAGAGACCAGCCCTTGAATAGGACACCCAGTGTGAGGGACTCTGTAGGCTGGAAGAGAGAAGGGTAAAAGAATTCTGAGTTCCTTAGCTCTTGGAGCTCAGAGGATAGGAAAAAAGGCTGTAATGTAGAAGCTGCTGGTACCACGATATCAATTCCTTGCTCCCTAGTTTTTCCTAAGAGCCAGTCCTTGACTCAGCAGTCCCTGAGCCATCTGGATAGGACGCCAGATACCCAAAGCCCTGTCTAGATGGATGATTAAAGGACTCAGCTCAGGAATTCCTAGGATGCAACAGGATATTAAAAGGAAACGTTCTATATAGGCTGGGCTCAGCCTGATCAATACCCATTGAAGACAAGAAAACACAGGGCCGGCCAGCTTCCCACACATCTTATTTATTGCTGGGGTGTGAGTCATGTTAGCAGCTCTGGGAGACACCACAAAGGGATTGCGTCTTCCTATTGTGGATGATTTATTGAGCTGGGCTGCCCAGGGGTAGAACAGGATGGAGCCCATTTCTCCTCGCCTCCCGGACAGCCTGCCCCTGCAACCCCCAGTGACACTAGCCCACTGTCTCACTGGGGAGGAGAAGGTGAGGCAGGCTGGGGAAGCCAGTGCTCTGAGATGCCCCCCAGAGTGGGCCAAGCTGGTGGCCTCCTACTTGAAGGAGTTCCAGTGGCCTCTCATCCACAGTGACCACTGTCCTCTCTGCTCTTTTCCAGGGTGCTCTATGGGAACAAGATCACCGAGATTGCCAAGGGATTGTTTGACGGGCTGGTGTCCCTACAGCTGCTGTGAGTAGGAACTTTGTCACTAATCGTGTCTCTGGAACTATTTGCAGGCTCTTTCCTGCAAACTTTGAGCCGTGCTCTGTAGAGTTCTTCTTTTGACTTTATGCCCATTAAAAGGAAGAAAAAACATTTTTTTTTGAGCTGTCCACCCCGTACCTCCATCACCTCTTCTTGGCGGAAGGAGAGCCAGGGAGTTGGCAGAGGAAGCCTAAGGTCAGTGTAAACGAGCTATAGATGATACACCTCGGGAGCCTGGCCCAGGTATGAATCACTAACCTCAGGCTCGGGGGGCTAGAAATTAAGCCAGAGGTGAATCCTACAAAGGGAAGCATGGGGCAGGGGTGTGCTTGGAACTTAGGGAACTAAAATATTCATACACCGTATTCCAATACGAAAGCTGAAACAGAGCTGCTGGTAGACGTGAGACCTTGAAGAAGGATAGGGGTGGGGCAGTGAAATAATTAGAGAAGGAGCATGATCAATCACCGCTGTGACTCTATCTGGGTAAGATATGGCTGAGATGGGAAGCGTTTATTTAATTTAAAGGAAGATTTGTTGCCTCAAATTTTAAGCTCTGGGATTATTTACGTGCATTTGTTTCATTGTGGTCATTTGAGCTTAAATGTTTGAAGAAGATAAATGAACTCTGATGTGGAGAGGCCAGGAAAGGAATTCAGCTCATCCTGTATTTTAAGATTTTATGACTGGGGGAGAATTATCTCTGGTTTGTGATCAGGTAGCCATAGTATCTACACGCATGTACTATGGGTGTGGGGAGTGTGTGTGTGTGTGTGTGTGTGTGTGTACGTGCGTTTACGTGTGTGCACATGCATGTCCATGTCTGCTCAGGGACCATCATGATTCCTATTGGTATTAGGAATTGATCTTGAGTATCCTGTGAGCAATGGAAGATACCAAGTTTCAGAGAGGGAAATGACTTGTCCTCAGTCACACAACAAAATAGGTGTGGAAGCTGGAGTAGAGCTTATGTGGTCCTGTGGCTCAGAAGCCTCCCAGACCTCTGAATAGCACAAGATATATGTTCCCAGAGGCGTGCATCTGAGTACAGATGAATGTGTGTGCGTGTGCATGCACATTTGTATGTGTGCCATTGTAAAATCACCTCTAAGTCACAGGCAGGAAGGAAGGGGCCTGGGGCCTCCCTGCTCCCGTGGGCAGTTAAGTGAAGCTCCATTATGAGCTTGCGCACCATGTAGTCAAGTTGTGGCTCCGGATGGGTGGGCGGCCAGGAGCAATGGTGAATAGAGGAAGGTTGGCAACGCATCTCACATGGTGACATCCAAAGAAAAAGGAAGTGAGACTTTTCCTTTAGCCTTTTCTTCTCACATTTACTCCCTACCCTTCCCATGTCCTGTTAAGACTCAGCCCTGGACAGAGTCTCCTAAGACAATATAAGAATGTGAATCATGTCCAGATGAGACGCCCAGCTAGTTTCCAGGCAGCACATCCATCACAGCAATAGTCAGGTTTGTTTCAATGAAGCCGAAAGCAAGAGAAAGAAAATTCTGTTCTTTTTCTCTGCATCCCACCCATCCAACCCTTCACACGTCTGTCTCCGTGTCTGTCTCACTCTCTGTGTCTCTGTGTACCTACCTACTAGTGTTCAAAGGTTGCAGCCCTTGGTGGGCCTTTGTGGCTCTTTGTTAGAATGACATGCCAGGGCTCTGCAGGGAGCTGGGGGGTTCACAGATAGTATTCTTTGCTTGTAGCAAAGAAACTGTAAGTTATAACTGCCACTGTAAGGCCAGTTAACTGTACCTATTAATCCCGTCCAAGAAGAGTAACAATAGCATGGCCTAGAGTTAGATTTGGAGGTGGTGCGTTTCACTGGGCTGGAGTGAATATCCTTTTACAGTCTGTGTTTTGACCGCAGAAAGCTCTATGCCCTTGCATGCATTAAGGAGAAATGTAGCATGCGTCAAAGTGCCTAGCACAGTGCACGGCATGTAGCAAAGATTCCATAAATGCATGTTTTGAGAGTCCGCCTGCCGATGCAGGGGACGCGGGTTCGTGCCCCGGTCTGGGAAGATCCCACATGCCGCGGAGCGGCTGGGTCCGTGAGCCATGGCCGCTGAGCCTGCGCGTCCGGAGCCTGTGGTCCACAACGGGAGAGGCTACAACAGTGAGAGGCCCACGTACCGCAAAAAATACATAAATACATAAAATAAAAATAAAAAAGGAAATGTATCCCAGCTCCAAGCTGACAGCAGTCGTGAGATGACTGGAGTTAACAGGACTTCGCATGGACGGGGAAGGCAACTCTGGTTGAGTATCACCATTTTGAGCAGAGGGAGTTGAGTAGCTGGGAGTAAAGACAAAGCATCCCCCCTTCTCTCGAGACCGAGAGTTGACACAACTCAGGCCACCTCACTTTCCAGAAAGAACCAGCAACTGTAGCCATCATTGGGCTTTGACCTGCTGTTGAGCAGTTAGAAAGCAGGTCCTGATTAGATCTAATTTAGCGTTCAGCCCGCAGTAGATTGGATTTCTCCTTGTTAGACTGGAGACACTCCGATAAGAAGGCTCTGATTAGAATACCCTGCTAGTCTGGGAAATTTCCTGTCCTTTGACTCGAAGACTTTTTGCAAGAGGTTTGTGTTTTTTTCTTCTCTCTCCATCTCTCAAGTTATGGGTGCATCACAAAGCCAAGCTGTCTCTGCCACCCAAAATGATCTTGGATGTTTCCTTTCTGGCACTTGTCATGATGCTACCAGGAGTAAAGCAGGTGCATTGTAGTTGGTTGTCCTGGCTGCCCATCTCCCCTTTCCCTGTTTCTCTAAACTTTTCAGCTATTCCACCACACTTGCCCAGCCTGTTCTGTACCCAGCCCTCCTGGGTCATTCTCTTGCCCTGTTTATTCGGGCAGATGGCCAATGCTGATAGGAGAATGTCTCAGTCTTCAGAGTTTCTCAGAGGCTGCAGCAAATGGGTCTCCATGGACAAGCTTCAGCAGTCCTGGGAAGGACCCCCAAACCCCTATCCTCTTGGTGTCAGCCTCAAAAGAGTCCCCTCCTTTAGTTGGACTTCCAAAATCTTCAGGGCTTCCAGGACAGCCTCTCACCCAGCTGGTATGGAAACCTGTCCCATGCACCCTGGGACAAATCCTACTGCTCTTTTGCTGATAAGTTTCTGTGATAAGTTTTCTCAGTGTAGTTAGAAGGTTAGGAAGCTCTTTCTTATACTAAACCTCAGTAATGGCTTCTGGGAAACTCAGAAAAGACTATTCTCATATTCTTCAAGTGTTTGAAAATAGCTAGTATGTCTCCCTGTAATTAATCCTAAACTGGTTCAGTTCCTGCAGACTTTCATTGTATAAACACACATTTGTTATTAGTGACAACCCTTATGATCTTCAGGGGAGCCTGTCACTTTCCTTCCTTAAAACAGGCTACTGGGACACGAGTCAGGTGCCCAGTAGGGCAAGAAGTGTGTTTAGAGACTCCCTCCTAAACTGCAGAGAACTGAAATTTCCCACATAGAGACATCTCAGAATCCAAGGTTAGGACCAGACATGCCACTGGGCATGCGCGCCCAGCTCTGATCACCCGAGAAGTGACCTGTCCTCTTCTCCCAGGCTCCGTCCATGCCCTTCCTCACCAGAAACAGAGTGAAACTTGCCGTTCCCCTGCCCACCCTGGCTCCTGGGTTTCTAGGATGTGAGTGGAGATGATGATCCTGAGTGTGCAGCCAGCCAGAGTGCCCCCAGATATGTCACCTTGCAGCTCAGGGGTCAGCCCTCCCCAAGGCAAGGGAAGCAAGCAGTCACCGTGTCTCCGGAGCCATCACTTTCCCCTCTGATGGGCAGCAGTAAGCTGCGCCATTACAGCTCCCCCGGGGGATCGGCACATGCAGTTAGTACTCATTGATTGCATGGCATATGCACGGAAGAGGGATTCAAGTGGGGCAGGCAGTCATTTGAGGTGGAAGCTTTCGTGTAAATGCTGGCTCCGGTCGATGTTAAACCTGCTCCGGGAGGTCTTAACCAAACCAGACTGTCTTAGGGCTGGAATAAGTTAAGACAGCCCAGCACCTGTTGTTTGATTTTCTTGGAAGGCAGACAAGACCACTGGAGCATCTTGGAGTTTTCCAAGCAACATGCCAGTTACAGGGCAGTGAGCAAAACTCCGCTCCCTATAGCTCACTTTCCCTTATCGGCTGTTTTGCAAGTACAACTACTGCTCCTGATGACAACAGCTACCATTCATTGAATACTTAATATGTTCCAGAACCTGTGCTAAGCAACTTCATATACATCACCTCATCTAACCTTTACAACCATGCTAAGAGAGAGGTGTTGTTCAGAGGCCCATTTTATAGATGTAGAAACTGAGCAACTGACGGGTTAAGTAACTTGGCCATTGTCTCTCAGCATGTAAGTGATGGAGCGTTGGAACCCAAGCAGTCTGAATCTGGAGTCCACACCAGAGATATCTGCTTCTGACCCAGTCATGGGCCAATCTGCAGAGCTAGTTTTGTGATACACGAAACAAGAATTCCTCACTGGCTCAAGCCAAGGAGGGAGTACTGTGGAACTGATGCTTTAACAGCTCCTCTTGTTAAGCCTCAGTCTAAATCACAGACCCCTGTCTCCCATGGAACTTCCTCTGGTTGACTGTCCTCACCCCACTGAAGTTCGAGCTGAGCCCTGTAAGAGGGCAATCAAGAAGCCGCTTGTTCTTGGGCTTCCCTGGTGGCGCAGTGGTTGAGGGTCCGCCTGCCGATGCAGGGGACACGGGTTCGTGCCCCGGTCTGGGAAGATCCCACGTGCCGCAGAGCGGCTGGGCCCGTGAGCCATGGCCGCTGAGCCTGCGCGTCCGGAGCCTGTGCTCCACAACGGGAGAGACCAAAAGAGAGAGAGCCCCGCACCGCAAAAAAAAAAAAAAAAAAAAAAGAAGCTGCTTGTTCTTAAAGACTGGGTTGAGGTGAGATGATGAGAATTCTCCCCCGCAGTAGAAGCAGACTTCCTTTGTGATGCATTTTTG